CGCTTTGCATCTTTTGGAATACACGGCCTTCAAGCCTGGCGGTGAGTGCCTGGCAGTGTTCGGCCGTGAATGCCAAGCCGAAAAATGGGATACGGCGCTCTAAGCACAGCTCCGCCATCCTCCCATCCCCAGCCAGTGCCACAACGGCCACGGGGTCGACGGCTTGGATGAGTTCCTCACAGAGCGCCGACGGCGGGCTGTGATACAAGAAGGGCTCCATGTCGTTCTTGTCCCTTGGTTTGCCTCCCTTGGCCCCAGACTCTTCCATTTCATCATCGTCACCTTCGCTTGCATCAATGTTGTCATCGTCGTCTTCTTTTCCACCCACGGCAATCCTTGCGCCATGCTTCCCCAGCAAGACCAACTTGTCTTTCATCTTCATCAGCCAGGCATCACTGTCCTGCTGCCATGAGGATGCCGTGAATGGACCTAGGAAATTTCCTCGGTTCGTGCCATTGGAGTGCAGCCTTTGGTGCTCATTGAGCTGCAATCCGTTCCTGGTGATCAGATGGATCCTTTGAATCTGGTTGATGGACGAGAATCCACGGACCTTGGCAAGCCTTTCGGTGATGCTGCTTTCTGACATGGTGGCTGTCCAGGTGCGAACTTGCTTCTTGCACGGTGCAGGCTTTTGAAGCTTGCCTGCTGCATCTGGCTCAGGAGCAAGGCAGAAAACACCAATCAACCTGCCTTTGTTTCCATCCTTGCCGCAGTCACACAAAGCATAGATGTCTCGTGGATCAAGGTCTTGGTTGGGGTCTTTTCGTTGCTGCACCAACCGCACGAATCTTTGGAGGTGGCCTCCGCGATTTCTGAGGCCAGGCACGCGCAAATGTGGCTGTACCTGAGCTTCGCCGGCATCGGCTTGGTCGTACCACACCAGTGTATGAGTCTTTTTTTCGGCATCTCCTGAAGCGCTGCCTGCCACCGACTGCTTCAAGCTTTCCAGGAGATCCTCATCGCTCTTTGTCTCAGGCTCCAAAACCACATAGGTCTTCACCAAAGATCGGGCCTGGGTCATGTGCCTTTCCAATCGTTGCAGATCCTCTTTGTCTTGCTTGTCCTCACTCGCTTGCAGCTCAGCATAGGTTGCCATCACGGTCTCAAAGGATTCAATGCCAAAAGCTGCTTTGTCCTGAACAAGGATGCTGAACACCACAATCAAAAGTGAACCATCTTTTGAAATTTTGGAGGGTGCCAATACAAATCATTATATAGTGGGCTGCCCCAGCCGTCCTCTCCAATTTCGTGCGCATCCGAATCAGCATTGCCACTGTCAGCACCCGGCTCGTTCTTGGACTCAGCACTGGTTTGCTTTTCCTCCTGGTAGCCAACAAAGAAACTTTCTTCAAAAAAAACATGCTCAACTTCACAGAAGAAAAGGTTCTTCTAGGTTCTTACTTTTAAAGGCTCTTCATAGGCTCTTACAGCCCTTGAAAGGCTCTTACAGCCATTGAAAGGCTCTTACAGCCCTTCCAAGGCTCTTACAGCCCTTCAAAGGCTCTTACAGCCTCACGACGTCTCACAACACCATATGCGCGGAGTCCTCAATCTTCTCAGCCACTTCGTCCAAGGACTCCGATAAAGGACTCATCTTCAAAAGCTCTCCCAAAGCTTTTTTGCTCCTGAGCCATGTGACAATGAGGTCGTCGTATGTGGTGCTGTAGATGCATCCATCCAGCACTGTGAGGAAGAGGTCCGCTGATGGTGGAAAAGAAGTCCGCCAGCCACAGGAAGGCTGCGTATCCATCGGCAACCAGGAGTATCCCAATGCTGCACGGTATGTTTCCAAGTCGACTGAAATCTCCTGGATCTTTTGCAACGACTGTCCCTGCACTCCAACCTCAGCAGCCCAGTTCAGAAGTTCCCTCTGAAAGTCCAACTTGGCCATGAAGACATCGCACAGCTTGCTGGACAGCTCCCTCTTGGAGCACTGGTCTGCATCCAATGCTCCTTTCTCAAACAGGTCGGCAAGCAGCAAGACCATCCACTCCAGTTTTTTGACACTTGAGGGGCCAGTGCCTGCTTTGCCCAGCATTGCAAACAGCTTGTGGATGGAATCCAGAGGGTTGTTGATGCCGTACACATCGTCGAGATACAGCAGCTTGGAAACCACCACCGTCGACTTGGTCAACATCCTTGAATTCACTGCCAGGGACCTTTCCACAAAACACTCGGTGACTTTTTCCGAGTAGTCCGACATCACCAGGTCCGAATTGTAGGTGTCGCTAACCTGTTTTGCCCACGAAACCTTGGGTCCCTTCTGAGCAGATTTTTTCTGTTTCTGCATCCGAGCTGCGAAGTTCACAATGTCCAAGCAGCGGCTGAGGCTTGAGTGGCGAATGAGTTCATGCTCAATTCCGCTCTTCTCCCTCAATTGGCAATTTTTGAAATGCAAAGTCGAATCCCTCTCCACAACCTCAAAAGTGATCAAGGTGTTGAGGATGATGTTCCTCCATTGCAGCAGCTTGTCATGCTCTTCGTTGATGACATCGCGATGCACTGCAATGATGAATGAGTGCAGTGGCTCCGCTGGACTCACCCGGCGAAGGAACCCGGGTGCTGGGACCACTTGATGCCTGCCATGGCAAAAGGATTGTGGAACCCCAACCACCACCTCTGAAATCAAAGGCTTCGGAACATTGTAGTAGCGCTCTGCAATCTCACTGCATTTCCTGGTTTTGATTGCAGTGTGAGCGATCGCTGGGTCCAAAGCCAAGTCCACCCAGAAGAAGTTTCCAGCCCCCGAAGCTGGCCTGGGCCAAGATGCAATCCAACTGGGAAATGCCAAAGCTGAGACGTGTTTCTTGCAATAAACTTTGTGAAACAGAATGATATTATCTCTACAATAATGACATGTCCCTCAGAACTTGACAAGTAACAAGTATGTTTGCAATGACAAGTATGTCTGACTCTGAGTTTTTGGCCCACTGTTTGCACGAAGTGTTGACTGCACGGATTTCGAGTTCACAGGGACGTACTTTCCGGCCACAGCATCGCTTGTCATCACATCATGCATGATCGGGTGGGCCTTGATCCCCTCCACACACTCGTGGATGTAGGCCATGTGCTTGGCATTTGCAGCTGCAACCGCCGGCATCGTTGGTGCAGAAGCACAAGGTGCCAAGACTTCGTCTGCCATGACTGACCAGAGCAGGAGTCGCAGAGTCAGGTTTGAAAGCTAGTTGGCTGAGGATTTAAAAAAAATACGTCTGCAGGTCAAGAGGGCTGGACCAAAGTGAGGGGCCCGATCATTGATTCAAATTTCAGGACCGGTCCTGAAGTTTGAGAGGGCACCCCCTGACCATTGAGGATTTAAAAAAAATCCGTCTGCAGGTCAAGAGGGCTGGACCAAAGTGAGGGGCCCGATCATTGATTCAAATTTCAGGACCGGTCCTGAAGTTTGAGAGGGCACCCCCTGACCATTGAGGATTTAAAAAAATCCGTCTGCAGGTCAAGAGGGCTGGACCAAAGTGAGGGGCCCGATCATTGATTCAAATTTCAGGACCGGTCCTGAAGTGGGAGAGAAAGTCGGGTGGCCGACGCTGTCTCAACATCATCCGTCCTACTTTTTCAAACGTCTCCACAAATTGAAACAATGGAAAAAAAGCTCTTACAGCCTCATGAGACACCCAAAATTCACAATGTTGTATCGACTTCGTCCGTACTTACTTGTTCAAAACGCGGCTTGCAACAATGGGAAAAGGCTCTTGCAGCCTCATGATTCGCAAGTTTTGCTCCCAATGAGTTTCTGAGAATCCGACTGGACTCTGCACTCAGTCAAGAATTGCTTCACCTCAATGTGAGCATTTTTGGCAACTTGGTCAATTTGAACATTTTTTGGTCAATATCAGTTTCCATTTGGTTTTCCATTTGTTTTGGTCGATATCAATTTGAGAACATTTTTTGGTCAATATCAGTTTCCATTTGGTTTTCCAGTTGTTTTGGTCGATATCAATTTGAGAACATTTTTTGGTCAATATCAGTTTCCATTTGGTTTTCCAGTTGTTTTGGTCGATATCAATTTGACAACATTTTTTGGTCAATATCCGTTTTCCATTTGGTGTTCCATTTGTTGTGGTCATTCAGCACAAATGCACAATTTTAACATTTCAATACGTTTACAAACTATAAAAGTGACATTTCTCATTTTGCATCATTTTTGCCCTTGTGTCTTTCTATTGCTGTCTCCCCCGTTGTTGTCCGAGAGCCTTGCCGGGCGCTCCAAAAAGGGCCTCAGGGGGGCACTATGGGACGCTTTTGTCCTGCAGATACTGGCTTGCAGCGCTCCAATCTTTTTGACTCCCCGTGATTCCCTGAGTAAATGTAAAGATCACTGCGCACAGTGAAACAAGCGAAGATCATTGTACAAAATATCCTCCGAGATTTTTCACACGGAAAAGAAATTGTCCATCTTGACATCTTCACAGCAAGGTTCCATCTTCACATCTTTGAAGTCATGGCTCGCATCTTGGAAGACAGAGCCAGGTTCCATTTTCACATTTTGGAGATCAAGGCCAGGTTCCATCTTCACACGAGTGGAAGAGAAACCGTCGTCATGGGAAGGTTCCACCTTCACATCCTTCAAGACCAGACCATCCCTGCACCCAGTTTCCACCCTGACATGGAGGCCGTTGCTTGCATGAGCAATCTTGACAGGGTTCGCACCCATGGAAATTGTCAAGGCTCCTGCCATGACGTCTCCTTCACTCTCGTCAGACTGAATGGGACCTTCGCAGATCTTCAAAGGCACTGGGATCTTTGCAGGTTCGCCAGGTAGGGGAATTTTCAGAGGTGTGGAGCAACATCCTTCCACCATCTCCGCATGGAGAAGCTTGCGCTGCAACATGGCATCCATGACAAGGATCATTTGGCGAGACACTTCTGCCTTGAGGGCTTCCATTTCACAAAGTCTCTGGTAAAGGATCGAGCCATCCATGGTTTTCAGCTGATCTGGGGTGAAGGCACCATCCAGATTTGCGATGCAGTCCGAGGGGCTGTCTCCATGACCCAGAACTCTTCCCACAAGAGGACCAATCCCTGCTGCTTCTTGAGCTGCCAAACGGCTGGAAGCCTGCAGAGCAAGCTCTGCGTCGGAGGCCAATCCATACAGCCATTCATGATTTTTCGGCAATTTCTGATTGCACTGACGTTGGAATTTCTCTCTTTGCGAACGCAGCAACTTTTGCCTGTCAGAGCGCTGGCGCTTGTTGCTATCGCATGGAACAGCAAGTTGAGACATGATCGGGTTGTGGACTCGGAGTGACCAGGGTTCGCTCCCTGAAGCTTGGCTGAGAACAGCTATTTGGATGAAAGGGTTGCTGAGGTCAAAGCGCAACGGAAAAAAAACAGTGAGGCTCTTACAGCCCAAATTGAACACAACTATTGCAAAAGGCTTCCAGATTCAAGGCAGAGAGAAAAACAATTGCGAGGCTCTTACAGCCCAAATTGAAGACAACCATTGCAAAGGTTTCAAGTTCTTCAGACAAATCTTTTGAGATCCAAACTGTCTCAGTGCAGGACTTGCTCCAGCTCGAAGGCCAAATGACCTCAATGTCGTCATTGAGCATCAAAAACCATCACATGCAAGTTCTGTTTTCAAGTTTTGAAAGTAATACATCATCCGATCAACTTGCTGCTTTCTCTCTTCACCGCACTGTCGCAACCCAAAGCTGACTGACCACACAGGTCATAGACGAAGGCATCTAAAACTGAATTCTTGACTAACAATGTTCCGTATGAAAATTTGGTTCTTTCACAGAACCATTCTCATGCACTAAAATTCAAAATCAAATCAAGATCCACGGCGCCCATCCAAGCCATGAGCAGACCGCATTGGATCAACAAAAATTAACTTCTGTGCAAGATCATCGCTCGTCAAAAACAGCTTGACTTCACTGAGCTCTCCCTGCTTGTCTGCAACAGTTCCGAAAACCATCACTTGCGTGTGTTTTTGGTCCCTTGTCGCCTTTCGCTTGGCTTTCAAGAACTCATCCAAGTTGCCCTGGAAGATCCAGCCTGAAGTTCCTCGAAAGGGCTTGCAGTAGTGCATGATGTTCTGAGCAACCTCCTTGCAATCTCTGGCGAATCGTGGGGTGATGTAGATGGTGCGCGCAATGCTGGTTGCTGACTTGTGGAGCAGGAAGCTGCCCCTCTGCCCACAGGACCTGAAACAAAGGATGTCGCAGACCAGTTTCCCATGGAGGCCAGCTAGCAACTTATCCTCTTGCGACTGTGGCTCTGTGACCTCTGTCCAAATGTGCATCTCTGCCTGATACTTGGATTCCTCTGGCACCAACCCCATCTTGCGACTCAAACGGTGCAGTTCAAACTCGCCGACAGCAACCTGAACAGCTGCACCCCACCAAACTTTCAAGCCTGCCACGTTCGGGAAAGAAGGTCTGGTCAAGGAGAGGCGACGGCTCTTCAATGCTTCCTGGCAGAGCTCTTGATCATGCTGCTGCCATTGACGAAACCAGTCTTGCATGGCCGGGCTCAAGCTGTCCCAAGGCACAGCTCCCTCAGCAATTGCCTTCATCAACCGGCCCAAAAGCTTTGTTTCCAAAAAAAAAAATTTCTCATGCCCTTCGCCCCAGCCGTTCACTCCAACAGACCCCATCACAGGGTTCACTGCTTCTGACAAATTCACTGAACCTGCGGCAGCATCAACCTCTCGACGCCGCTTCCTCATGAACGCAGCTTCCGAGGTGATCTTGTCCTTGTTTTCTTCATCATCTGGCTGAGTGCGCTTGCGTCCTGCAAATGCCCAAAACTTGACTGGAGATGTGGCTCTTACAGCCACCCCTATTATATCTTGGGTTTGCCACCTATACAGCTCTTACAGCTATTTAATGGCTCAGCTGAAAAAACCAAACAAGGCAACAGCAGGTCCTTTCGAATCTTCAGGAACCTTCTGTCTGTTTCGAGGTGGACCATAATGATTAGTCCATACAGCTCGAGCAGACTCAATCAGATCACTGTACTTGGGCAAGGCGACAGGTTTCCCTTTGCTGGCTTTGTTCAAGGACAACAGCTGTAGCTCGTCGTCCAGACGATTCTCTCCTACGTCTCCTCTTTTTCTCGCAGCATGAAGGCCCTTTGCAAAAGCTCTCTCAACACCAGTAGTATTGATTTGCCAGGAGAAAAGCCTGATCAATGCCGCTTCCAAAGTTTTTTTCGGAGAGGCCTGCGTCTTGTTCTTCAAGTGGGCAGTACGCCAAGCATCTTCAGATGACTTGCTCCCGCCCTCCAGGAAGTGCCACTCTGCACTTGGCCTCATGTCAAGGAATTCTTGACAAAAGCAGTCTGCATCAAGCTCTAAGAGGTTCGCGAGGCACTTCACATCTTTCATGTTGGGAGTAGCATCCAAAGAGAATATCCTGAACAACTGCAGGGATTCAAAGTGGGGCATCTCGGCACGAACAGTCATGCGCACAAGTTCAAGCCAGTTCTGCATCCTTTGAAAACATCTATCAACAACATCAGAGGAAGGAGTCTTGATACTCCTGACTCCTCCATCAACAAAAATGTTGCAAGGTTTCTCCAATGTCTTCATCATCAATGCCGTGTAGCCCGTCTGCATAGCTCCCCTTTGTGCTCCGAAAAGCCAGGTGCATTTCTGCAGAAACTTGTGCATTCGCAATGATGTTGGCCTTGAAATAGGTATCCTGGTCGAAATACCTATTCACCTCCATTGTCTCATCCGTTGCATCTGCCACCAGGGCCAATTGAAAGGCTGACTCTGCCGTCACTGTATTCAGCCACTCTCTGGCCAACTGGCCTTCATTGGAATTTTTCCCTCTCTGCTCCAAGATCCATTGGGCCACCCTCAACAAGGGCTGGAAAAAAAGCACAGCTCTTCGGAATGGCTGCGCTGCACTCACGAATCTGTGTTTGGCGCAAGCCAAATCCCGAATCCGTTTGGCGGATGGGCCTGACAGTTCCGCGACAGCTTCCTGAAACCTTTTGCGGAACACTCCTGAGAAGCGAATTTTTTGTGTAATCGCCCTGGGGCCAATGACCAAATCCCGGACAAGCTTGTGGATGTAGGGGTCTGTGGGCCAAGTCCGGCTCAACAACCTCTGAGATGCATGGGCTTTGTCAAACTGCACCAGTTTCAGTGCAGGAAACCATCTCTTCAGTAGCTGGCCTGATCTTTGCTCATCGAAAGCTCCATCAGCACCAAAGGCTTCAGTACACTCTTTCACATGTCGAACCAGATCACGATCAAGGGCCGCTGTTTCATTTGCACAGTCACGCACAGGCATACCCAACCCAGTTGTCGCGAACTTGTGCAAGATGAAGACAGATGCTTGAGCGATGTCTTTGGAAGTCAATCCAAAACGCTCGTTCAAATCACACTGCCCCAAATGGCCAGTAGTCACCTTCAGGTTGTGGTCAACAGAGACGAAGCTGACCAGCAGCTGGCCATCTCGCACATCCTGCTGCCAGCAAACCGAAGCAGAATTCTGTAATGAGGTTCGGAGAGCAATCCGATGCGCCTGCCAGGATAGGTGTGTAATTTGTGGGTGTCTTAGATGTTCTTATTGGGTTCTTTCATCTTAGTTTCTCGTAGCAGCTACACTTGAATGACATGTCTAATTTTTGGAGCCCATGCCCCATGCCTCAGCCAAACACCACATCATGACACGGCACTTCCAAGGTCCACTCTCCTTCAGCTCTGCTGCACCCCGCCAGACAGATTCCAGACATTCAGCAAACTGCTGCGCCGAAGGGGCAGCAATTGGAACCCCGCTGGATTTGAAGCTCTCCGATCGGGAAATGTGAGCTGTCGACCTCTCGTGCTTTTGGAAAACTGATGTCTGGGCAGTCTTGATGGAGCACTCTGCGAAACCATTCTTGTCACGTTGGCTTTCAGGGGCGTTGCGGCAAATGGTGCATCCTAGTGATTTCACCTTGCCGTCCTCCTCCACCACAATGAGCCATGGAAATCTTGATGTCCAAACGAAGGAATGCTTCACCCACAAAGCATCGAGGCCCTTCAAGCACGTCTTGCCATGACCCTTTGAATCCCTGGAAGTGGACAGCGGCATCTTGAACACAAATGTGCTGGCAACGAAATCAATGTAACATTGAGCTCTGAACCTTGAATGACAGAAACTCAATGTGACCGGGCTCTTACAGCCCTGAGAGCTCTCAACCATTTGGGGAGCCAGCACTGCTTGACTGCCACCTCCGCTGCCTGACCAGATAGCTAGGCACCATTGCAATGGATGTGCCCACGGACATGTTGACAATCAATGTCTTGTGGGGATAAAATGTATCAGCACAGCCTGGTTCCGCGTGCCCCAGCTGCAACAACTACAGAAGACCTCTCCAATTGCCTGCCATGGATGGATGACTGACGTGACTGGAATGCTGGAAAAGGCTTCCAAATTCAAAGCAGAGGAAAAACAATGAGGCTCTCACAGCACAAATTCAACTCAACCATCACTAAGCCTTCAGGTTCTTCCGACCAGAAGAAAGGTTTCTATTCCCAACTGTTAGACAAGTCTTCCAGATCCAAACCATTTCATCCAAAGACGTCCTCCAGCTCAAAGCGCGCATGGCCTCAATGTCACGGAATGTTCTGTTATCAAATTCATCATCTGATTCGCTTGGGTGTTCAAATTTTCGAAATAATCAACCAGGAAGCATCGAGACTTTTCAAACTCCCCTCAACGTGACAGTGAGCCCTGACATCCCTGACAGCTCTCAACCGCTGTAGATTTTTATAAAGTCATACTTGGTTCTTGCAGCCCTGACAGCTCTGAACCATTTGGGGCGCCAGCAATGCTTCCAGCAGATGACCGCAGCTTCGCCCGCCACTACACAAATCACAGCTGCAGTCAATCCAAAGTTCAATGACAATGAACATGCCGATGGACATGTTGACAATCAATATCTTGTATTTGCCTGGTTCATGTCTCTGCCACAACAACCAAAGGAAACCGTAAATTGCTCGAAAACTGCAAATCCGCATGGCATCGTAATTTCCGCCCCATACCTGGTATCTATTATGTAATTTCCATGACTCATGACCAGGGCTCTTACAGCCCGAAACATATAAGAGTTCTTGCAACTCTTTGAGGAGGAGTGAGTCAAAAGTCCTTGGCGTCTTCTGCTGACATTGCCTCCTGTTCCTGCCAAGGCTGGAAACAGAGCGACACATCTAAACTGAATGGGAATGAGGCTCTTACAGCCCTGCGAGCAACAACGAGAACAAAAGCCAGGGGCTGGAAACCAAGTGTTGTCAGCATGTCTACAAATCAAAACCACATGGAACTCGTATACAACCTTGCCAGCCACCAATGAAAGGAAAAGTCCTTGTCGCTCTCTGTTCTCGCAGCCTTCTTTGATTCCTTCCAGGGACTGGAAACCAAATTATATCAACATGGCAATAAATGTGAGAAGAATGGAAATTAAGGGTCTTACAGTCCTTGGAATCCTCTGCACCAGATCGTCGCATCGACGCTTTCTTTGCCTCCTTCCAGGGGCTGGAGGCCAAGTGGAGTTAGCAAATCATGGGTTGCGACGCTGTCCTCCTCAATGATCCTCTTCCTCAATACTTTCGCTTCTTCAAGGAGTTTTTCCTTCGCCGTTGCCTGCAATGAAACGAAAAATAAATCATGTATGTTGGTTGAAAAACGGGAGCGTTCAAATTCAAACAACATTCACAGGCCTGCTGCTCTTCTAATGCATTCTTCATTTGCCTGATCTTGAACATCTCCATGTCCTGTCAAGGCTTTAGAGGGGGCAGCATGGACATGTCAGCAACGCATCACATTGCCGGCCTGCCACTCCTTGAACAAGGCCTCATACTTCTTCATGGCCCGATCTTCCCACTTCTTCTGGGCCAGTTCCTGCATAGTCTATGTGTGTGTGTGCGCGTGCAACAGTGTAATTGTGTGTGTGTGTCTGTGTCTGTGTGTGTGTGTGTCTGTGTCTGTGTCTGTGTCTGTGTGTGGGGGGAAGAATACTAAAACCCGGCCTCTATCTTCTGTTTCTCCTGCAGCCACCACTCTTTCCAGGCCCTCGCATTATTGGCCTGAAAGAGATAAACATGGCGTGAAGGAGATAACCATAGGGCTACACACACACACACACTCACATGGCGGGCAGGCCTTCTCTATTTCGGCGGTTTCTCTGTCTTTCTCAGCCTTTTCTTTCTCTTTTTGGGCCTGGATTTTGTCTTTCTCAGCCTCTTTTTTGTCTTTCTCAGCCTGGGCAACCTTTTGCGAAGCCCATTGCTGAAAATCCTTCCATTTTTCTTTATTCTCCGGGGCCTAGGATTCAAAGGCGCCCAAGCTAAGTGCACATCAATCCTCAAACTGAATTCTATGTTTTCATTGGCTGAACTTGAATATTAAAACAATCTCCTGCCTGGTTTTGAGACTTCAGGGCAGCCTGGTGCCAATGGTCACGCTCTTTGAGCAGCGTTGCCGCCTGCCAGCATTCCACGAGAAAAATAGCACTAATTACGCCTAGTTTTTTTGCTCTTACAGCATCATTCATTCAATGAATCCAATAAGGGTAAGTTGAGAATGCGGGCCTGGTTGTTCAGCGCTGACGCTTGGCACTGCAGCTGGTTTGCCTGCATGCCGTGAAACAGTGACACAGTAGCGACCAACCCACCTGGTTTTTGACAGCATGGTTGATCGATGGGTTTTATGCATACTCCTAAGCAGCATGATTCCCAAGCAGTGCCTGCTTCTCCCACTGCGTGCAGTTGGCCAGGGCTGCTGCAGCCTCCCATGTGCACAATATCTCTCACCCGGCCGTCCGACAAATGCGCCAACCTGCCTGGGCTTGCGAGCTTTGCAGCTGCCCTTGGAGGTTGGTCTTCTCCATGAGGAGGGCTGATACTCGCGACGCCGCCTGCAAGCAGTCTTGTGCATGAACATGCATGAACACAAGAATAACTGGCAAAGTTTGATGCTCTTACAGCACCGCAATCTTCTGATTGCAATACCACATTTCCCATAAATAAAACCCTCTAGACTTGGCAATCAGTTGGATGCTCTTACAGCATCAGAATCACTGACAACGTCACCCACCCCAGCCTGTAGCTGCGTCGTCAGCAACTCCTCGCTGAGCTTCTTGGCAGTCTCGCACACTTGCCAATATTTGACCAATTCCAGCTGCATTTGGCCATGTTTTCGCCTTTGCGGCCCCAGGGTCAGGAACATGTCACTGAACCACTTAGGACACTGCCCCTGACCCTGGGGACCGCCTCCTGCCGCGGCTTGCTCGCCGCTGGGGGCCACATGGCCGGCGCTTGGCATTGGCCCATCATGGGCGGGCATTGGCGGTGCCGGCTGCATGACCTTCGGTGTCAGCGGCATGACCTTCGGCGGCATCTTCGGCGGCATCTTCGGCGGCGTCTTCGGCGCATGGGCGCCCTTCGGTCCGCCCTGCGGCGGCGGGTGCTGCTGGTCATTGCCAGCCATGGTGCCGTCTTGAAAATCAAACAGCAGCGGATGTCATGTAGTCACACATTGCGAAGCTCTTACAGCCTACGCAATGTGAACTCTTACATGCTCTTACAACGGTTGTTTCAAAATATCATGTCATGTAGTCACACATTGCGAAGCTCTTACAGCCTACGCAATGTGGGTTCTTACATGCTCTTACAACGGTTACCGATCATGTCATGTTTCAAGATGCTTCATGTTTCAAGATGCTTCAGATGCTACACTCCACAGCACCAAATTTAATGCATTGAAGGCTCTGCTCTGAGCCCACTTGCCCGAATCCACAAGCCTGGGCCTGAGCTGGAGAAAAGGCGACTTCCCAATGCATGGTATTGTTGGGATTTTTCTGGGAAGGCGCCTACCGGGCAAAAGGCGTTGTACCAACAAGGGGTCAGGGAACCAGAAACCCCCACATGCAACAGGAAGAAAGGTGACTTCCCATCATTTTTTCATGCATACCCTTGACTCAGGACAACCCCAACAAGTGACTATCCAATAATGAAAAACTGAACATTCAAGTAAATTTCACCACCAGCTAGGGCCTCCAACCCAGCTGTTGTCTCTGGCAGGCCGCCATGCAGAGTCGCCTGAACGGTGGGAGAAGGAAAAAGGTCACAGAACCGGTGGCAAAACAGTGGTTCTTCAGGGTTATCTTGTAACACCCTTTGCTGTAAGAGCATTGTGTGAAATATATAATATCTTGATGTCCAGAACAGCAGGTGCCCTGCCTGACGGCCCCCCACCAGCTATCGGGCCGAATGATTGGATAGAAGGGATGAAACATAATGAATGGCTCCCCCAACTGGTGGGTGAATGGCTGAACCATGAAAAATGAAAGAATGAATGCATGGATTGTGGACTAGTGGTTAGATACCTGATAGTTAGCAATGTGTCCCTTCAACAAGGCGTGTTGTTTGGTCTGGCCTCTTTCTCTTTTGAACCCAAAGACTCTGAACCATGAACTGACGAACATATCATGCATGGGTTTTGCAACTTGTTTTAGACATGCGGAATGTTAGCGAAACATCTACTACTTCAGCTGCTCAAGGCTCTCACAGCCTGAGGCTCTTACAGCCTTGGGTAGGCCATTACAGCCTGAGGCTCTTACAGCCTTTAGTAATAGGCTCTTACAGCCTTTAGTAATAGGCTCTTACAGCCTCTTTTTTCGGCTCTTACAGCCCTTGGGGCTCTTACAGCCCATGAAGCTCTTACAGCTTCTAAGGCTCTTAAAGCCAGGCTCTTACAGCCTTTGAAGCTCTTACAGCTCCTGGCACTCTTACAGTGCCTTTTTTGGTCCGTCCTGCCCCCCCCCACACAGGTTTGATTTGAAAATGTTTAGCATGACCATGACTTAGCCAATACTTTCTTTTGAAAAAATGGCATGCCACATGTCATGTGTATGAGCACAGTGCCAAAATGTTAAAACCTCCAAACAAATTGAAAAATGTTTTCAAACATACTTTTGTTTTTGTTATTGATTTGCCAGATGCTTAAAAAACACAAATCAACATATTAATAGACATGCTAAAGTAGAAACCAATGTTGAGTTGCTTTCCTTTCCGCGAGAACATAAAAACAAT